GCCCCGTGTGTGAGGCGGGGAGCTCTCGAAGCCTGGGCGAGAGACCGGGCCGCGGGGGGCTGGAGAGTTGCTCCGGGAATGAGGCAGGCGAGGCTTATGATGGATGGGCCCGCCCTTCCTCGGACCAGGGAGCTGCTTGGACTGACCAGAAGGGAGTGTAGAGCACTAACAGGGGCCTACACAGGACATTGCAGGCTTAGGAGGCATTTTTGCTTGCTAGGCATTGGAGATAACCCGGAGTGTAGGTGGTGTATGGAAGGGGAGGAGACCCCGTATCATCTGCTCACCGAGTGCCCTGCGTTGACATGGGCAAGATTGGGAGTCTTCGGAACGGCCCTGATCGATCCGGACTCAGTGCACGGTATTGGGCTAAAGGAGTTTCTGACCTTCTACAGGAGGGGCGGCATTCTGGACGCCCTCTAGAGCGGCCTGGGGGCGCAACGGGCCCATCTGGTGGCCTAAGTGCTTGGATGCCCGCGAGGGCGCCCCCCTTTAATACCAATACCAATACCAATGGGTGCCAATTTCAGAGCACTTTATTCAAGATTTTCCTGGCATTTTCGAAGAATTACGTTTCGCCCCATTCATTGAATATTTTGTGTGGGATTTTTCTTTTTTTATTTATAATGTTTTTTCTTTTTTATGTTATGTTTATTTTGTCATGTATATTGGTTTACTATACACTGAACTGTAGCATGACTTCTATTTCTCATTTCACCAATATCCCGCAGTGATTTTTCCATTATTGTAAAATAATAAATTCCATTTTTTTTTATTATACGGTCACTGAGACACATATATAAACTGACTTCATATATTTTTCATTCATTCAAAATAACTGAGTATGCTTTTTTTTTAAACAAAATGTTAGCTTTTCTTCTTATGACAATAATACACTGCAAAATTACGGTAAATTATTTTTGAAAATTCATACAAAATATTGATTTTTATTGTAAGTTGCCATAGTACATACATTCCAGAGACTGAGAAAGAGTTCTTAGTCATGAAAAATACCATTCCGGTGCAATACAATATTTACGAATGTTTTAAAATGCTTCAAATGATTTTGTTTTTAGAATTTTATAAAAATTGATATTGAGATTGTTAAGCGATTATCTGACAGTGTTTTTTTTTAAACTTTTTCCTTGTAAGTTTCATATGGTGTGCGAGTAATTCAATTTTCCTGAACCCAAATAAACTTGTCTCTGCATTTTTTGAAAAATTCAAAGTTCTATAAAATCTTAATTTGATTTCATAACATCTTTTTTCAAAAAACTATTCTTTTTTTTTTAACAAACAAAGAAACAAAATTACAATCACATTAAGAGTGCGCAGCTATAAGTACAATTTATAGAAAACAAATAGAGTTTTTTTAGTATGGATAATTCAGCATCTCTCCATACTTACTTTGTCTCAACAGTATCCTGGTTATTTTTGAGTTGAGGTATAACGGCCATTTTCACCCACCTGTCCTCAAGTTGGAATAACTAGGGAACGACTAAATTTTAGGGATGGGCCAAGCTTCAGTTTGCTCCGGCTTCCCTAGTTTCGGGTTTCCTTTGCTAGGTAAATGACGATGACGGCAACATTGCAAATCGAATGGTCTTTATTCCGGATTAGTAAAACTTACCCTAAAAGCAATGTTGTTAAATTTCGCCATGATATTTAAAAATGTGATAACCTTTCACTGAGACACATAGGGCATTTAAGTTAAAATAATAAATTTACGACTTCATATAAAAAATGAATAGGCTTAGAATATATAACATACAGGGTGTTTTGAAAAGCCGGTACAATATTTAAGGGAGTGATTACTCAGGTCATTTTATAACAATCGTAGATCCGGAAACGCACCGCTTCCAAGATACAGGGTGTTAAAGTTTTTCTTAAATAATGTTTTTTAAATTAATTCAAATATCTTCTCAAGGATTTGTTTGAAATTTGGCCGCGTAGTTTCCATCGATAACGTGCTAATTTGACTCTAAATAAATAAATATTAAACAGTAGCGTTAGGTCGGGAGGCAACTTTATTAGATAAAAATGAAAAACCATTTTATTGCATGTCCATTTATCATAAAAATATTTTCCCTATAATATTAGTAAACAATTGAACGAAAAATAACTTAATATTTATCATACAAAAAATTTACTGTTGAAAGTGACCCTGACTGCAATAAGGACTTCAGGTGTTATTCGGATGTGTCAATCATTTTGCATCTATCTGTTTAATATTGAAGTAACATAAATCGCTATACGAATACAGAAATGACCTACATGCACTTTATTTATGGACTTGCTGTTGGAAATGCATTAGAAGCTAGCCGGTTGTGTAGTCCGACACACGCCATGACTGTATTGGGTACTGTATAATTGTAATTATATAAATAATAAATACTATTAACTAAAATTAGACCTCAGTCAAACTAATGGTTTTGCGTTGTTCGATGTTTTTTTTTAATAATTGTTCACTTCAGTACATGATTAACACATTCTTCCCAAGTGTTTTCTGGTATTAATTCACATTCAGTTTTTGAATTTGGCCCATATATATTCCCAAAATAAAGGTCATGCTGACTAAGTCACTCTTCTTTGTTGCTGATCCTTGGTACTTTCTTTTGCTTAAGTCATGTATTAATTAATTAATGCATTATGATAACTGTTTCGCTGCCTGGTGATATATTTGGAAAAACAAACTTTTCCTGTCTTGATGGTGATCTAATGATCAGTCATTAAAATTTTTTGCTGAAAGCAACAAGCATTTGGCATTCAACCTTCTTTCGAGCTACACTGGAAAATAATATAAAAATAATATAATAATATATCTTTATTTAGCATTATGCTACATAGAAATGCAAAATAGAAATTTTAAATATAAAAAGGTAAACAGAAAGTAAGAGCTAAGCACACAAATCAAAATTTGGACAACACATGATGTCTTAAAAGCCTTTTTAATATAATCCGGTAAATTATTAAAATGGTTTAGTCCTTTATGTAATATGCAGTTTTGTACATGACATTCTCATAGCATAAAACCACAATTTTTTTTATTGTATCCTTGAAAGAGGTAACTTTTTCACAAACATAATCAGGAACACACTGCTGTTTAATTTTAAAAATAAATACATAGACAGTAAACATTACTTTTTGTTTTACAGACAGGAAATTAAGTACAGCCAAAATGATTTGAATTGGCGTATATTTGTTACATGGTGGTATATTTCTCATAGCTCTATTTTGAACAATCTCCAATTGGTCTAATTTATAATGTGGCAGTTTAACAAAAGCGTACAACAAAATTCTAAATGGGGAGCAGCTCAGCTGTTATACAATAAGATTTTTTCCTATTCTAGATATAAAATTAATATTTTTAGAAAATTTATTCATTATGTAATCAGCATATGTATAAAACGTCAAATTTGAGTTAAATATAGCAGCCAAGTATTTAATTTCGTTTTCATGAATACATTTTTTTTTGTTAGTATAAATGTATAAAATTTAATTTATTCAATTTATGTTGTTTATAAAAAAAAACAAAATTTTGGCTTGTACCTGTTTATACAAAAGTTATTATTGAAGAACTGAAATTCGTACAGTCGTATTAAATACACGATGCAGGATAAATTCCTGCTTAGAAAATGACAGAAAGCACTATGAACATTTATGAAGACCATCGATTTTGCTTTCAATCAATTTTGTAGTGTTGTGTTGTTGTGTTATTTTTTTGGCATTATGTCAGAAAATACCATCTGAGTAATCATCTCACTCATAGCACTTTTCATAGCCTAAAATAACCACTTTAAACGACTCCAAGTTTATTAAAATCCATTAAGCGGTTTTGGAGTTATCGACATTTATTTCCGTAAATATTAGAACACCCTCGACTACCTTTTAGAGATAGAGTAAAAAGCATCTAACAAAAAAGATTTGAGCTTATGTCAGCTTTAAAACAGTGTTCAGTTTGAGTACGATTAATATAAGAAAATTTTAAAATTCAAGATGATAATTACGCCCTCTGATGGCCATTTCAGAATTTCAAAAATAATCTCCAGCATTTTCCCTTGGCCGATTTACTTAACACATGTAATATACAGTAATACATGTAATATACTGGGTGTTTAAAAAAGACGTGGCAATATTTAAGGGGGTGGTATCTCAGATCATTTAAAAAAAAATTCCCATAAATGTGGGTGCGAAAATGTAGTATTTCCAAGGTATTAATATAAATATGAAGTTAATTGCTTGAGATAGAGCGGCTAAAACTATTACTTGTTCGTGTCTTGAAATTTTCTCCTATCATAATAATTAATTTAATATTACAAAACATTTACAAAAATGTTGAAATTGACCAGGTTTAGCTCCTTTTCTAATTGACTTCCACACTCTTACCACTGGCAAATCGGAATTCCGAGATATAAGATGGACTTTACTACGGGAAAAATATTTACAATAACACTAGCGATCAGTCAGACTTCGACAAATATCAGCGGTATCTGAACATTCGTGAGTCTATCGGAATAAACAAATCAATACTATAAACCGCGACGAAGGTTTGTACTTCTGTCGTCTATTTGGGATTTGGTTATCCGTGAAGAAGGAAAAATCTAGAAGATGTGTACCTACAAGGTCCGCGATCTGCGGAAGTTTTTTTTAAATGATTAGGCATTCATATCAAATGCGTTAGTCGTTGAGTTCAGAAGTAGTAAGAGCGTCGTGAGCGATCAAACTAAAATTGCTACAACTGTACTCGTTCTACCCCATACCAATAAATGGATAAGGAATTTTACGGTATGTTTTAAGGAAACGCTCGACCAATATCTCGCGTGCATGCTCTGGCCAATTAGTTATCTCGGGAAAAAACGCGTACGTCAGTGCCGTCGCGGCGTCTCTTTCTCCCGGTCCCGACGCCCTAAACGCTTCGGCGTCGCGCAACGGGGGGGTAAACAGCGAGGCCGTCGGTTTGCCGTCGCGACGACCACTTTACTGTTCCGAGAGTTGTCGGATTATATACGCGACTTCTACCGAACCTTCTTGTCACGCGGTCCTATCAGAGCAATCAACAAAAGCTCGGGAAAACATAATTTAGTGAAAATTCTCGCTCTTTGATTAGTTAGTTAGTGCACATTAGAAACTAAACGCTTTGATCGTTGTTGTAGTGTTATCTAGTGCTCGTGGTGATTCATTACTGAATTCCGAAAGTAATTGGTGATCGTGGTGCTGTGGATATTCTTTGGTCTCCAGTAAGGATTGCCGATTAATTGTGAGGTAAGCACTTGTCACATTTTTTTCCCCAGCAGTCAGTAAATAAAAAAACCATTTCTTAACAAAACGTTTTGGATTTTCAAACTGTACCCTACATTTTAACAGCGCCAAATTTTATTAAACGCGTCGTTTAGATTTGTGACTGGAAATTATAAAAATCGATCTAAATTTAATGAGAATATTAGTTAGGGTTGCGTTATCTAAATTTTGTAGGAAATTTTACAGAAAATTAGTCATTTTACATTGGTAATTAAATGTTTGCATCAGGACTCAAATTCTAAAATACCCCGTAGAATAATTACCTTACAATTTTTTTAAAAGTTCAATTGAATATTTGTTAAGAACCATTCATTTCCTGCAGTTTGTTTTTGGTTCACGTCTTTATGTGCATCGGTTTGTGTCTAAACGCAAAATAAACATATCATTACTTTAAAAGAAATTTATTTATTTTTGCACAAACCGATTCAATTTCAAGTTAATTAATATCAAGATTTTTATTAATAATTTATTTTCATTTTCATCAAGAAATTTTAAGGATGACTCTAAGCAATCGTTTAATATCCAAAAGGAGTTATAGAAAATCTTAGCGTGAAAAAGTAGACATCCTCAAACTGCATGTGACAAACATGATCGTGGAATAATTACAATCCTTAAAAAAAATCCCCACACAACAAAAGGAATCGAAAAAATGCTTGTGCTGTTATGTTTTAAAAATTTTTCACTAGAATACACTTTCCTCATTTAATTTGACCACATCCTAAATTTTGAACTAATCAAATATGATTTTGTTAACATATTTCTATAGCAAGGCATATTTCAATAAAATTTTTTAGTATACATTGTTGCTGGGTACTCACAAAGAAAAAAAATTGCACTAAAATTCATCCGTTGTCATGATGATCTGTGAAAAAAATACTTTTTGATTTGTTAAAAGCTATAGGTGTGAATTTTCTTCCTCATAACATTGGATGTTAAATTCTTGCATAAATTTTTATTGTTATTAATTTTTTGCTGTCGTTTCTAGCATTTCTATTGACTGAAATTTTACTAACATTGCCGAAATACTTTTTTCAAAAATTGTATATTTTTTTATGAAAATATTTTTTTTGTCCTCATTATGGACAGAATGAATGTACCGAAAAATTTTATCGCTGAGAAAAGAAAAATTTAACGCTTCTCGATCTTTCTCTGCTGTTATTTTTCATTTTATAGTTACATATAATAATAATATTTTCGACGATTGTTTTATGTTAATCATTTTAATATAATTTTCTAAACATTATAATTTTCTGTAAAATTAAATCAGCATGTCAATTTCTCTGTTTATGCAGCTTATTTTCTCTATTAACTTTCCACCATGCATGTTATGCTTGTTATTGTAAGTACATACGTTAATTATGCATACTGCATACAGCTATTATGCATAGTACATACGGACATTATGCTTTGAGTTTATGTGCATATACCCTTTATTCAAGTTTATGAGCATATAAAAACTAAATGTGGTGCATACAGTCTCTATGCCTTAAATTTTGTGTGGACACAATAATTAATACTACCATTCAAACTGATAACAAATTAATATAAATATTTCCTCCTAACTCTCTGTTAGTCAATTTAGGACTATCCGAGAATTACTTACTATTTACCATGTTGATATTTTCGCCACTTAAGTGAAATGCATAGTTAAATTAACTGAACAAAAATAATAAAACATTGATAAACAAATAATGTTACATTAATGGCAAATTATTAAAAAATGTGTAACAACGAACAACTAACAAAAGGTAAACTCGAACATCAACAGTTCGACATTTTAATAACATTGTAATGATAACACAACAAAATAAAAACTATATACACCACAACCATATAGAAAATTCGTAGCCAAATACTTCATCAATCATGTTATTATTACACTTAAAAAAAAAATTATCTCTCTGATAGAATTCGAAGAGAATAGCCGTTTCCATAATTTGCACTTGTCCTCGACACATTTAAAGTGATATAAATAAGTGTTTCCAACTTGCGTATCTCGCGGTACTTCGTGGTAACAATTGCCTAACTTCACAGTCAGTGAAGCACATCCTACTTTGACTGCATCCCCGAAGATAAACATCTAAATAATTGATATGTTTGAATTGGCGCATAAATTTGAGCTAACTTAACGCCTATTTTACGCAACGGCTCCAAGTTAAATGGCGAAAAATCCCATTATTATTATTAGAGGAGTTTACAGGAGGACCTTTTTAAGGCGTCTTTGAATGTCATTTTTTTTTCGGAAAAAAATCCTTTCAAATCATATTATCCCCTGCGTTTTACGTATTGCGAGGGCCGGATTTGCAAGAATCCGCTTCCCTTTTAAGGTTCGCCGTCGCATATTGTATGAGGATAAAAGATAAAAGGGAACATGGGCGTAACATTAGGCGTGTTAATTAACGCCTATGATATAATAATAATAATAATAATAATAATAATAATAATAATAATAATAATAATAATAATAATAATAATAATAATAATAATAATAATACTAATAATAATAGTAATAATAATAATAATAGTGATAATAATAATAAATCTCTTTATTTGTTAAACAGAAAAAAAACAATTTCATAAGTACCATAGTATTGATCCGCGTCAAAATGCAAATATTACTTACTTTGTTTATTACATTTACAAAAATCTGTTCAAAATCATGTAAACTCTGGACTAACACTTTATTGACTCTTTAACAAAGCACCCGCAGTGTCAAGAACTAGTTTAAACTCAGGGTGATAAGTCCATCCTGATTCTAACTGCGGAATGCAAGAAAACTGGCGCGGAGCTTGGAGAAGAGAATTTAGCGACTTGGTAAATCATCAGAGATCGAGACTCAATTGCTGCTGATGACTTTAATCAATTTATCTTCATTCTAGTCTCCTCAAATTCACAAATAATAAGAAAAAATTCCAACTCTTGCAGTTTAGGATGTGTAATCGCACGTCACTGGGTTTGCGAAGCCCAGATTTAGAGCAAAAATGCACGACTCAGAAAAGTAGAAATAGAGTTACTCTATGCTTCAAGGCGAACATCAAACGAAAGCTCTCGTGGAGAAATAGTTCGCTCTCAGATAAATAAAGATGTGCAGACCGGAATAAGTGTTGCCGTTCAGTATCGAAAGCTCTAATAACGTTGCTTTATTTTGAGAGATTTAGTATTGTCTATTAATAATCGTACGCGAGAAACAATTTCTAAAACGTTAAAACTAATAATAATAATTTTTCAATTTTTACAAAAGTTATTTGATCATTTTTTTGGATTATTTAAATTTTCACTTAATTACATACAGTTAAAGTTAAAGTTAGGTTTTTTTAAACCCTATATTTTAGTGATTTGATTGATATTTACCTCTACTGCACCGTTATTAGCGGGAAATTCAAGTTATGTTTTTGTTACATCGCATATGCCTTGCGGATGACCTTTTAGAAAAATTTTCTGCGAAACATATTTTAGAAAATTATACTTTTTTTTCAGACAATATTCAAAATTTAAATATTTTTATCAAATTCGCGGTATTGCGATGTTCACAAAATGTTAATTTTTTAAAATCAAACACGCTGTATATTTTTGTATTTTCAGATAGCCCTTTACAAGACAAAATCAACGATATATGTGAAGATTGCCCTGCACCATTTCGAAATTATTCACGATTTTCCAATACCGAGGCAATTTTAACGCAGTTAATTAAAAATCTTGGCTTTCTGGTTTATTTAATTCTGTAAGCGTTTAATCATTTTAATTTAATTTAATCATGAATCGATATTTACAACATCAGTAACATAATCGAAAAAATATGCATTTCTAGAGCTCTGAAAATAAGCTTTGTGAATTTGAGACAAATAAACAAGGCAGAAGATCGGTTAAAGTGTGGTGCAGTATTTGCACTGATAGAATTTTAGGGACGGCAGTTCGATTTTTAGATTTATTATTCCTGAAAGCCAAATTTAATTTAGTGAATATTAGCGAATTTTTAGTTTTTAATGGCACCATCTTGTGGCCAGCAAGGAGGTCGGATTTAAACCAACTGAATTTTTTTTGCTGTGGCACTTTAAAAGAGATAGTATACAAAAATAAATTGATTGAAGTTTTTGCATTGCAACAAAAGATTCGGGAAGCAATTAACCAAATAAATGAGACCAAGTATATATTAAATGCCATAAATCATTTGGAGGTAATTTATAGCAATACTGCATTATTAAAAATGGTGGACAAAATTATTAATTTAATTTTTTGAAAGTATTTTAAATAAATGATTACCGACACAGCAATATTATAAAAAAATATTAGAAACGCTTTCAGAATTGAGCTGAATTGCGTTAATATTGCTTCGGAATTGACAAAAATCGTCAATAAATTCAAAACGGTGCAATTTTCACCTATATCGATGGATTTTAAAGCGCTGTCCTAAAATGAAAAATATATAGGGTGTTAAGAGCGGTAAAAATTTGCGAACCATTGCAACACCGCGGATAAAAATATTTCAATTTTCGATATTGCCTGAGAAAAAGTATTATTTTATTAAATATGTTACGCAGAAAAATGTTTTAAATGTTAACATGCGATGTAACAAAAACGTTTCCAACATAACCGGAATACAGAAGATTTTCGCTAATAACGGTACATTAGAGACCAGTATATAGATATTTATATATATCCTTGGATTCGTATTTAAAAATGCAATGAAAGTGCTCCATTTAAAAACATTTTTTGACCATCCTATATGTAATTGAGTGACAGTTAAAATAAAAATTAAAGACCGTTTTACGGGAAACTACTTTTGTATTCAAACATTTTTATAACAGCTCTAGATTTATATATTAGGTATAAGCCCCTCTTAAACCGGCTACCCTGCACATTAAGGCAGAGCGAACCCCAACACATGACACCAAAATAGTATGATGTATTGTAAAAGCCTATAGACAAAAGTTGTTTGTAATTATTTTTAAAATCTTGCGTTATTA